ATTTTTTTTATATATATATATATATATATATATATATATATATATATATATATATATATATATATATATATAAAATATAAAGATGGATACGAATTGAAAAAAAAAAAAAAAAAATCAAAACATGACCGGTAAACAATTCCTTTTTCTTTTTTTTTTTTTTCTTTTTCTTTTTTTCCAACGAAAACGTTGTTGTTTCGTACCATCTCTCTCTCTCTCTCTCTCTCTCTCTCTCTCTCTCTCTCTCTCTCTTTCTCTTTCTTTCTGATATGAATTCATTTTCGTAAGAAGACGACGACGACGACGGACTTTGACAGGTAAGGATTCCCATAAGCTCACAATCGAGCGTGGGGTAATTAATGATACCGTGATGACAGGCACATTTCACAAGGCAGCCAACCTAGCGAGCGAGGCGGTCCTTCCTTCTCATGTCTACGTTCGGCCTTATTATTATTATTATAACTCATACCCTTATTTAAAAACTCCTATTCAAAAAAAATTAAAAATAATATCACACGAACTCCCCCTTCCCCCTCCCCCCCGAAAACTTTATTTCTATCCGAACGCAACACACAAAAAAAAAAAAAAAAATTGATTTTCCAGTTTCGTCGTTTTACCTACGCTTCTCATTTCTTTCTCTTCCTCCTCCGCCATATTGAAAACCGAGAGGGAAAAACGTTCACGTAATACACGCACGCACGCACATATTCATCATTATCATTATCATCATTCTTTATCCGGTCGTGTAATAATAATAATAATAATAATAATAATAATAATCAAAATGTTTTGAATTAAAACTTTTTTAAATAAGGGATATAATATTATTGTTAATTATTAAGACGTCAAAAAAAAAAAAAAAAAAAAAAATTTTCATTTATATGCAGTAGTCGAGCAAGTTTTTCCTAAGTATTAAATTAATCGTTAAAATTATAAATTGACCAGAAATTATTTATATAATTCGTATTCTACTCCGTTCTTCTTAATTTCATAAACCGGTTATTTAAACAAAATTGACAAAAACCATTTTGTTTTGTTTTACATTTTATAATTTTTAATTATTATTATTATTATTATTATTAACTTTAAAATTTGAATCCCCCTATTTAATTTCCGTTTCCTTTCTTACAATTTTTATAAAATATTAAAATAATAATAATAATAATAATAAACGCGAGGTTTTTCTTCTTAACCATATTCAGTCAACAACCGGTCAACTGATAAACTTTTGTTTTTGTTCGACAAAATTATTATTATTATTATTATTATTTTTTTTTTTTTACAATCTAAACCAGATAATTTCCAATAGAGATCTCTTTATTATTATTATTATTTCAATAACACAAAAAAACGATTAAAAACATTCATTCACGCAAAATGAAAATGCTTCTTCTGCTTCATCTTCTTCTGCTCCTTCATCTTTCATTTGAGAGATCTTTATTGATTTTAAAGATGGAATATTCGAGATAGAATTCAATATTATATTTTTTTTTAGACGAACAAACATGTAAACACATGCACGCACACGCACGCACAAACACAAACACGCAGGAAAGAGATGATGAAACAACATAATTTTTGACTTTTGATTTCTCCATTACGTTTTCAAACGACATTTTATCATTATTATTATTATTTTTTTTATTTCCCCTCCCCTCTCTTCGTTTAACTTCCCTTATGCGGGCATAAAGACGTTACATCCCCTCAAACTTTTTTTTTTATATTTATTTAGTTGTTGTTGTTGTTTGTTATTGTTCGTGTAATGACTTACCTTGACGTTGGATTCGGCGGATGTTTTCCCATCATCATCATCATCATCATCATCGTTCGAATTTTCATTTTTCAATTCTTCCAAAGCTTTCAACTTTTCAATGTCGTCCTCGTCGAAAACTTCCTTTTTCTGTATTTCCTCTTTGGGAGAATTGAAATTGTTAAGAGAAAAACCGAGATCGACATCTTGTTTCCAAAGTACTTCTATCAGGTCTACATCCTGTCGACACAAAAAAAAAAAAAATTATTATTATTATTATTTTAACCGAATTCAAAAACCTCGATACCGGAAGTGTACGCCATTTTTTTTTGGGGGGGGGCGAAGGGGGAATTTTTAAAAAATAAATTATCAACGAATTAATAATAAATTTTTTTAAAAAAATTTATCGTTGCAAATTGAAATTTTATTGATATTATCGATTTGAAAAAAAAACTATTATTATCATCGTCTTGTATCTCCCGTAAATAAATAAATAATTGTTTGTTTAGTTTGTTTGTTTGTTTGTTTGTTTGTTCGTTTGTTTGTTTGTTTTTTAAAAGATTTAATGACGTTTAATTTTATTTTTTTTTAATCCACGCGATCGACGTAAAACTTTTTTTTTTTAACTTTTAACAAAACTTTTTTTTTTTAAAACACTCACAACTTTAACAAAACGTGACGACGACACCATTTTGTTTTTTTTTTTTTTTCACTCCAAGACGGGAAAATTCGATTCGATATATATATAAAAATTTTCCTCGTTCGATAATTTCGAGTTCGCGATATAAAATTTCGATCGATCGATCGATCGATACACGAAAATAAAAACGACAAAAAAAAATTAATTTATTTATTTATAATTTTATACATTTTATTCTATCACATGATATATTTATATATATACAACAAACCAAACAATAATAATAATAATAATAATAATAATAATAATCTCGATAATCAATAATTTTTTTATAAAAATTCAATAACTTAACCGTCGACGAACCTTGCACCGATAGGATATCGATAAGACAAATTGTTTGTCGTTAATGTTTACGTATATGCATCGTTTATAAAAATAAAAAAACACTCGCGCGAGACTTTTCACAGGTAGGAACACAAATCTGTGAAATCTAAAAAAAACTTAATGTATACATACTCGAGTAAGATGTTTCAAATACGACAAAAGTCCCAAACGAAACAAACAAAACGAAACAAACGAAACAAACGAAAACAAACAAAACGAAACAAACGAAAACAAACAAAAACAAAAGAAATTAAAATCAAAATATTAAGTAAAATTTAAAGTTTAACTAACTCAAAACCCTTAAAACTTTATTATTATTATTATTATTTTATTTGGGAGCCATTGAAATAAAACCGAAACGTGGAAAAATAATAATAATAATAATAATAATAATAATTTTTAAAAAAAGTTAAGTGGAAAAGTTTGCAATGTGTAGAATTCATTCAACTACTAAATTCAAAATTTAAATTTTTGAACACGTGACCAAAAAAAAAAAAAGTTTTTAGGTTTTTTAAATTTTTCGTTAAACCCCCCGCTTCCCGGTCCTCACTTCAGCAAAATTTCATTAGCCAACATACTAAAAAAAAAAAAATTAATTCCGAAAACAATTTTCCTTTTTTACCTTTTCGCACATTAGTTTGTTTTTTTTTTTTTTTTTTTTTTCAAAGGTTGGTACCACCGACCGCGCGCGTCCCACGTTACCGCAAAAACTAACGATTCGACAAACAATAAATAAATAAATAAATAAATAAAAAACGGTGGTCACTTTTTTTTTTTAAAAAAAAAAAGGTATATAACCCTTTTACACCTTCTCTACCTTGACTACCGCGTCGCATTCATTCCTTTCTATTTGTTTCCAGGTACGAAATGCAAAAAAAAAAAAAAAAAAAAAAAAAATTTCACGAAAAATTTGTCACGGTTTTCTTTTTACATTCAGAAAAGAAAGGAAAAATTTTTTTCTTTTTTTCTTTTGCAAATTTGTAAATTTAACTCGGTCATGTATGTAACCGGTCGTCATTCATTTTAACCAATAAAGACAAAAATATCAACAATCGCGTGCGGTTTTTCATTGTTTGCTTTTCTTTTCACATCTACATCATTATCATTATCATTATCATTATCATTATCATTTTTTTAAAAAAGCAAAAAAGATCCCGTATAATTCTTTCAAATAAAATCATCGTACCTTAATTTTGTTGTTGTTGTTGTAGAAAGGAGGTACATAATGTAACGATAATCAAAAGATATTTTATTATTAATAATAATAAAAAACGACGACATGTGAAATGGTCTCGAATATGTTATTATTATTATTATTAATGCCGTCAAACAAAGAACCAATCAAAATCATCCTATTTTTGATTCTATTACTTTTTTTTCTTTTTTTCATCAAAATCATTAATCATTACCCGCTGAGGGAAATGATGGGATGGAATATATATATATATATATATCGTGTGTGGAACGATTTGATTGCACCATACCAACAATTTAACAACAACAACACGAGCCAGAACCAATCGAAACTTATACGGTTAATTAAAATTTATAAAAAAAAAAACTAAAAAGAAAAAAGAAAAAAGAAAAACTTCATTTTAAAATCTGACACTTCATCTCAACGACAACCCGACAACCCGACAACAACAACAACAACAACGACAACGAAAAAAAAAGAGCAATTAAATAAAATTAAAAAAAAACAACTCGAATTCATTTATTATTATTATTATTATTATTATTATTATTATTATTATTACTACTACTATTATTACTATTACTATTATTACTATTATTATTATTATTACTATTATTATTATTACTATTATTATTATTATTATTATTATTTTCCCAAACCTTAACGTAGGTCATTGGCAACGTACAACCATCAAATTTCAACAAGAAAAGACAAAAAGAAGTCGCAAGGAAAAACGTTGGAAAATTTAAATTTAAAAAAAATTAAATTTATTATTACAACCCTAAACGATTTGCCCCCCTTTTCTTCCTCCCTCCCCCAAAAAAAAAAAGAAAATTCAATTTTTTCTATTGACACCATTTCAACTTTGTTTCTCCAACTCGATCTAATCAACATCCGGTTAATTTTAAAATTTTTTTTCCCCCCCCCCCGCATAAATTATATAAATTTTAAAAAAATAATAATAATAATCGTCGTGTGGTAATTTTCGTGATTCGAATAATTCCAATGAGAATAATAATAATAATAATAATAACAAAATACAGAAATTTGAAAATTGAAATAACCAGAATGTGGGGAGACGTGAGAACAGAAACGATTCCGGTCATCGTGGGAGCAGAACTGGGAGCCATGCCACCACCACATTCAATAAAAGGAAATTTAAAGAAGATTTTAAAGAACCTAAAAGAAGGAAAAACCATCCAGGAAATCGCACTAGAAGGTGGTACGGCCCACATTCTCCAGAATTCTTCATCATTCGAGCATTTATCCCTAAGGAATCGAGTATAAACCTGGAATAAATGAACTTAAAAACATTCCGACAAATACGAGAATCTTGTCGTGTTTAAGAGTGATAATAATAGTAACAACAACAACAACAACAAAAATTTATGCAAACTCGATCGGTTTTCTTCTTCTTCTTTTACTTAACACAAGAATAAGAAGAAATGTCAAAATCTTCATGTTCTCTCCCGATGATGGTATCTTGTGTGAAAACCGGCATTTTTTTTTTTTGGAAAAAAAAAAAAAACGCATTAAACCGTCATCACTTAGCCTGTCAAGTTAAAAAGTTAAGAAAAAAAAAAAAAGGAAAGAAATTTTCAAATTCTTTTTTTTTTCTAACGTCTGCCAACATATAAGTAGAATTAAAAATTCAAGAAGAAATAATAATAATAATAATAATAATAATAATAATAATAATAATAATAATAATAATAATAATGATGATGATGATGATAGTAAAAGGCGACGGTGTCGCCGGATAAATCATTCGTAAATCAAATCAAAAACAAAAACAACCCGGGGGGAGGGGGTGGGGGGTGGGGGGAAAAAAAACAAAAAATTATCAAATCAAAAAAAAATTAAAATTGGCCACATTAAAAACGTGTTAAACAAAATGATAATAATAATAATAATAAACTACGTGCTTGATGTGTAATTTATTTTGAATTTGTAATTATTAAACTCGTTTTTATTATTATCATTATTAACAACTTAGGTACGAAATAATTTCACGTTATACCGAGAACCTATGAAAATTAATTTCTGAACGCGCGTTTCGTCTTTAAAAAAAAAAAAAAAAAAAAAAAAAAATTTTTTTTTTTTGCTGCCATTTTACACGGCTCGTTTCTCTTACTAATTATCTCTCTCTCTTTCTCTTTCTCTCTCTCTCTCTCTCTCTCTCTCTCTCTTTCTCTTTCTCCTCTCTCTCTTTCTCTCTCTCTATCTCTTTCCCTCCTCTCTCTCTCTCTCTCACTATTTGTTTAAACAAAAAAAAAAAATTGTTGAATGCAAAAAATCGTTTTCACATTCTTCGACAAATCGTTTCATTGTTTTCCGTCGTCTATTTAATACCTGAATTCCGTACCACGATGATAATGATAATGATGATGATGATGATGATCGCAATAATCAACAATTACGCGGTTTTTTTTTTTTTCGATCTCTCGAAATTGCTCATGGGAAAAAAGAAGAAGAAGAAGAAGAAGAAGAGGATGCTGCAAGAGCGGTAAAATTTTACAAAAAGACTTTTTGAAAACCCCACAATGACAATGATAATGATAATAATAATAATAATAATAATAATAATAATAATAATAATAATAATAATAACAATAGAAAATCCGTTAAAAAAACAAAACAAAAAAAAAATCATTAAGAACGCAAATACGAAATCCACTCGGAGAAATATATTAATAATAATAATAATAATAATAATAATAATAATAATAATAATAATAATAATAATAATAATAATTTTTATACGTGACTATCCACACAATATTCGAAAACGTTTGATAGTGAGTGAGAGAGACAGAGAGAGTTAGAGAGAGAGAGAGAGAGAGAGAGAAAATATTTGGAATTTGTATGTGTGCATCGATTGTCAAAATCCTATATCTATCTGCCTGTCTGTCTTCTCCTTTCCCGAATCGATATTTTCCATATACCTTAATCAAAATAAGAACCTAAAAAAAAAACTCAAAAACTCACGATGATGATGTTGATGATCACGATCGTAATAATTCTAATAATAATAATAATAATAATAATAATAAAGAAAAAAATGAAAAAAATCGCGCCTAAAAAATAAAAAAAAAATAAAAATA